TGGAAAGAGTCCAGCAGCGCCCCCTGCTGGATGATCCACAGCTGCACTCAGGAGCTCTGATAGATGTGGCCAAACATCTGGGCAACCTGAGCTTCAACATCTGGAACAAGATGAAGATGATGGTCTCCTACACTCCTGTGATTCTGGATCCAAAGCTCATCGCAGACTAATCCTGTCTGAAGATCTGACCAGCAGAAAGAGACGGCAGCTTCCTGAAAACCCATAAAGAACCGACGATCATCGCTCTGTGTGGGACTGAGAGGCCTTAAAGTCTCAGCTGGGATGTTGACGTTGGACAAAACCCAGTCTGGTTTATCGGTGTGAGAGCTAAATCTGTCCAGAAGAAGGGATGTACAAAATCTGGATTCTGGCAAACAGAGTTCTACAAAGGCAAATACAGCAGACCAGTTTAAAAGGATGAAGGCTAATATTAAGTTGATAAACTCTACATGTTATCTGTGTGGCGTTGGGATGGAATAACATTCATACAAGCACAGAAACGGACTTAAAGCTGCATTATTATATATTTTTCTTTGAACATATTCGGAGTGGACATATTTTGAGTGATGGGTTGTAGTGTTCATACTTTCCCTCTCTCAGATATCAAAAGTTGCTGACTTAATAATAAACAAAGCCCGATATTGTGACATTCATTGTTCTCAGAGAATATGTTATAAATCAAATTTAAAAATTTAACAGTGGGCTTCAAAAGTGCTGTAAAAATACTGTAAAATTATTATTTTAAAAGATTAAATTAAAAAAATAAGCACCTCATATATAAAAATGGTAATTTTAAAATTTTATAACAAAATACATGTTATAGATAATAGATAGACTTTATTTTACAATTGACAGATAATAATAATAATGCTTCTAGATATTATAAATATATTGATTATGTTGATAAAAACATTCAAAAGGTACTAGAGTTCCTGTAAACATGTCAAATATCTCTCAAATCTTTGTCATTTTTTTGAAATTTATTTTATTTAACCAGGTGAGTCCCATTGAGAATGACATCTCTTTTGCAAGGGAGCCCTGGCCATGAGGGAAACAACAAGGGTTACAACAATACAACACAAAAAATAAAATAAATTATATATAATCACTATAAGGCATAAATACATGGAATACATACAGTACATAAAAACTCATTTAAAGCAGCTACAGACTTCTGCTTTTACAGATTGTAACAAACATTTAAAATCTCCCAAGGAAACAAGGTCAGACAGAAAATCAATATATGTGTTTCTTTGAATTGTCACTAATTGTATCATTTTTTTAATTTATTTTTATGTAATATTAGCAGCCTTAAACTTAAATTTAACATTTTCAAGAATTAAATAAGAAGGAATTATTTGTGAAATTACAATAAATATGCAAATGTGTCTTAGTGATATATTTGTGTCAAAACATTCAATTTTCTTAAAAAAAAAAAAATTAAAAATCATAAAATAAATGGTTTTTAACCAAATTACCAAATTTCCTGTTAGGGATTAGTATATTTCTATCTATCTATGATTCTACCTTAGACATCTATATTCACAGTACATTTCAATCATGTTTTTGTGTTTTTTAGAAATACAGACAAAATTTGTGAATAATATTAAAAATCAATGGAATTACCAATTCCAGATTTTTCTTCCAGTGTACTAAACCAAAAAGCAAACACCATGCAGTGAATCCCATGTAACAGAAGTAAAAAACAAAGATGTAACTGAATGAATTCAACATTAGCTCTCAAACACAGTGACTGATGCAGTCCTTATTAATGCTGAATGCAGATATTAAAGAAACTATCAGTATATTTTGTAATCATATACACTATAGTAAGTCTGTCTGCTGTTGTTCCATTAATTAACCACACGAGGACGCCCCAAACTCTTTACTGTGGTTTGCACGAATGTCAGTATTTCTGAAAGTTGTTAATTCAGGTCATTGCTTCAATTATTTCCTTTTTTCCTTTTGCATTTCATCTGAAAGTGGCAGAAAAAAAATGTCGTCTTGCTGCTCATAGTATTAGCCGTCACTCACTTTGAAGAGTTTTTCATTTATAATAGGTTATTTTTCCATTTTGGTGTAGCTATACACTCAAACAAAGGGTTTTAATGTGTCAGAGTCAGATGTTTGAGTTGTTTGTGTCTCTTTGTTTACTTCAGAAAGGAAATGAAGTTCATGTTTTAGACTTTAAGGATCACATGTTCTGACATAGTGTTGGTCCTGCTTTCTTTGGCTGCTCAGAAGATGGCTCAAGTCAAGTCAGTTTTGTTTGTATAGCGCAGTTTGCAACACATGAGGTGTGCTTTGTTAAAAGGTCATCATGCTAACAGAAATTTACAGGGAGTTAGCATATGTAACTTTAGAAACAACTATGATGCTTCAATCCTCTCCCCCTTCTCATTTTCACAAAGGCAGGCATTAAATTCAACAATAAAACAATATAGATCATTTTAAAAATAGTTAAGTGGCTGAGAAGTCAGCGAAGTATATAAAGATGACAAAGTTTACCTGATGTATACAGCTGCTAGTCTGTTTTAAATTAATATAAAATGATATTGTGATTACCAGACTGTTGTGTTCTTCTGTACTGTTGTTGTGTCCTTGTTTGCATAGGGCCTGCATGCATTGTGCAGTCCAACTGCCTCCAGGAATAGAGGACATTCTATGTTTCTGGTACTGTTATTTTAGGGGATCAGAGCTAAAAAGCTGAGAAGACTGGTCCAACAGTACAGACCAGTATGAAACATCCTGGTAAAGCTTGGCTCAAATCTTAAAGCAGCAACTTTGGTTCATTAGTCTTCCTGCCAGATCATGACTTTCATTTCCCTGCTGATTTGCTATCGTGTGTGTGTGTGTGTGTGTGTGTGTGTGTGTGTGTGTGTGTGTGTGTGAATAAGTCCGCCAATCTTTGTTTTCAGTCTTATAAGCAGTTCACCAAAAGAAGGAAATCCCGTCCTTCATTGCCGCTTCAGACCTCAAACAGCAAGACTGGTGAGTAAGATGTTGTCTCACAATATTTAGATATTGATAATAGAACAATTATGTTGTTCTGCAGTCTAGTATTTATGAGTATTTATTTATCGGTGACATTCCATATTTTGATTAGGTTTAATTAGATTTTAGCTTCCATGTCTTTCAACCTTGTTTTTAAGCTTTACACTAACATATTTAGTATTTTTAGACAATTTTCAGATGTGTGAATGATGTTTATGTCTATTTTGAGTGTTTTAATGTTTGTGAAGCAGCCTGCCTCAGTTGTGCCTTTTGAATTAAAATCATTTAATCAGCTATAGATGGATTCTGATGGATTTTCCTCCCTTTAGACAGCCATTCATTTTAGTACATTTTTATGTGAACACAGTTTGCACAGTGAATGTTTAGTCACTTCCATTTGTCTTGTTTGTGCTGCTGGTTACTCTTGTAACTGTAATCTTTGACTTAATCTTTTACTCATTCTTTGGATGTTTTTCAAATTTCACAAAGATTTCTGAAAGATTCATCGAGAATATGTTTTAATAAGCCAAGACTTCAGACATTTAAAGTCAAAGAATAAAGCTGCTCAACTGAACTTTTAGCGTATTCTCTGTGAATTACAGGGTCTGAGACTCTTTGCTTTCTGCAAACTGATTAAGTGTTCATGCTGGGTGATTAACCCACCTTCTCCACACTGTGGATCATTACTGTTGACCTGAAAGTATTTAAATATGTCTTCAAACACTGGAATCAGTGTAGAAAAAAATGTCTATATCTTTAACATAGTTGCTAAAATTCCCAGGACTGAATACAGAAGACATGACATCAGGGTCCAGACAAAAACGCTTCTAAGGTGCCACATATATTTTGACTTTCATCATCATCACCATCATTTTCCTCTGAACAGCATTAGCTGTTGACTCCAGAGTTTTGGACCATGGGAGCTTATTATTATGGGCTGACGGTTCTGGTGGGTGTGGCCTCACTGCTGTCGACTGGCCAATGCAATACAAGCTGTAGAGGAACTGACGGTCATGCAGGAGTGGCAGGAGCCCCGGGGAGAGACGGGTGGCCTGGAATGAAGGGAGAGAAAGGAGAACCAGGTAAAAAACAAAAAAATAAAATTCTGCATGGGACCTTTGTACTTTGTCCTTCATTGTAATCCTAGACAGCTGTCACTCAAATTTATCAGCTTCATACCAAATGGCACAAACAGGAAGATAGTGAAGCATTTCTCAGCTAAAGAGCTCGATACAGATTTATTCACACTCCTCCATTAAAGAAAAGGCAAAATTAGCAAAAGTCACTCAAATAACTAGAAACTGAAAAGAAAAAAAAGCAATAATAGATTAAAATTTGCTAAATTATAATTTAGTGATATAAGACATTGCTTTTGAATTGTGGTTGAAAAGAATAATTAAAAAAAAAAAAAAAAAAAACTGACAAACTAGAGCAGTTTGCTGATGAGCAGTGGGCCAAAATCAGAATACCTGTCAACAGGTGCAGAAGTCACCCCTCACTAACACTGACTTAAAGACACCAGGTGACCAGAAACATGACCCCAAATTAATAATGTCGCTCTGTAATTACTGGATGAGTAAATATGCAGACTTTCTGTAGTAAGTTGACACTAGCTGTGTTTCCATTTCTGTATTTTTTGCACATTTTACCCTTGCTTTAGGTGTTTTTTAGCTTAAAAAAACACCTCTTCGAATAAATTCTGACATAACAAATAAATAACTCACATGACTAATGAGCTGCTTCCACTTCTTTTGTTGTCTTTGTAAATTCTTGACAGCTCTTCCTGTTGATGGCCAAAGTTTTGTGTGTTTGTTTTTCCTCTGAGAGTGTTTTTGGCAGTTGACAAAAAACTGGTTTTGTTTCCGTCTTCTTCTACTCTGTTTATTAACGGCATGTGTAACCTAATCTATCCTACACCTTCTGAAGACACTACACAGCCTAGTATATTCAATCCAAAGCAGCTCCAGGAAACAATGCAAATGCACATTTTGTTTTAGAATTTTATGAATTCACTTGACAGCTGTTTTGAAACATAACTAGTACATGAGTATGTTCACACTTTTTGCTGCTCCCAAGTGGCCAAAAAAGATCAAATATTGGTGTTTAAATAATTCATCTGTTTGTCTTCAGCTGTGATGGTGAAAGGTCCGGTGGACACAGGTGTCCTGCTGGGGCTGAATGGGGAGGCTGGAAATCGCGGCCCGCCTGGGCTCATGGGTCCTAAAGGCTTCCGTGGAGGTTTGGGAGCAGCAGGTGTCCCTGGTATCCCCGGTCGCCCCGGCCCAGCAGGGAGGAACCTCGGACAGGGTAAGAACACAAGCTCTGAGTCTATATGCCAACATATTTAAATACAAACATGTTCAAGTTTTCATCTTTAAACGGCAGTGAAGTGTTGAGATCTGGGGTTTTAGCACCATTTTAGCTTTAATCTCCTTGGATACGCATGTCACATGACCATTCACACACACTGGACGTGTCAGGGCAGCCGAGGTTTAGCTGCTTCCTTGTAGAAACAAGTGTGGAGGAAAAAACAGCAATGGCATAAAGTGAGGCTAGAGATCTCCTTAAATACACATTTTTTTCCAGAAATTCATTTTCCTTGTTGAATTAACCTCTGGTAATCCAGACTTTCTTCCTGAAAACACTCACAAGATAGCAGCATGATTGTTTGGGGAATGACATACGGTGACACTTAAGACCATCAGAAAGCCAACACAGGTGCACATCCAGACTCAAACACAACCCCAGAGCATTTCTAAACGTGTCCATTATAGCAGTCCTAAAACACTGGAGTAGCTGCAGATGCAAGGCCCAGCAGACGTGATGCTTTATAGAGACTTCTCCTATTTATTTCACTGAGAAAAGAGATGTTTACTCCTGGTCCTGTCTGCTCCTAGGACAACAGTCCTCTCAGCAGGGTGGTAAATCAGCCTTCTCAGTGATCAGGACAGCAAACGATTATCCTCCCTACCAGGTGAGTGTGACGCCCATCACACCTCTCTGCTTCACCGCTGTTTCATTTCTAAAAGTCTTAGTCTGCAATATTTGCACACATAAAACTCAGAAATATAGCACAGTCATAATGTGTTAAATCATTTTTTTTCAAAAGCAAAAGTTTATTATGTTTTGTGGTTATTAATTGATAAAACTTACAATACAATTCCTTTATTGTTGTTTCACAGTGTACAGCAACATCACGCAGCAGTCCTGTCAGTGTATTCACAAAACCAGACACTGAAGAAATGTGTAGATTAAAAAATATAAAAATCTAGACCTATGAAAACTCTGTAATGGCTGAAGAATCATAAAACCAGTAGTGTACCTGATGTGACACTATAAATCCTTGTGGCAGGTTTGGGGATTCAGAGCTTTAATACTTGGGTCAAATTATTTTCACACATCCACATCCCTTCAGACAGTTTTAGTTTAAACCGCTCCGTCATTGCGATACCGGTCTTTGAGGGAACTTCTGTGTTCTGGTATGACATTGAGTGAGCTATGAGGAGTTTGAACAGGAACCATAATTTTTGCATCTTAAAATATCCCTCTTTGTATGAGCATACAGCAACACCGGCTTTTTGGTATTTGTTTCTTTACAGTTTTTAGATTATTGTTTATATCTGACTGTGTGTGTGTGTGTGTGTGTGTGTGTGTGTGTTAGAGAATAACCTTCCAGGACACTGTGGTCAACGTGCACACACCTTCAGGCTCGCCAGACTTTAACCTGAACACAGGTTACTTCACCTGCAGGATACCTGGTGTTTATTACTTCACCTTCAACTCTGTTGCCAAGGTAACGTACCGTTGTCTGCTGATGTGCTTCTTTATACAAGATAAGAATCATGGCTGACCGTTTTGTAAAATACAACACACACGTTTTGAACACCTCAATGTGTTTTACTACCTTTGAAATGGCCACAAACGTGCACCGGCTGCAGTAACAGCCAACCTGCAGAGTCTTGCTTGAGCACCTTCAGCTCCATCATCACACTGTACTGTGGTTGTGTGTCTGCAGGTCAGCATGTGTCTGCGTGTAGCCAGTGACGCTCTGACTGAAAAGGTGGGATTCTGTGATTACAACAAGAACTTCGATCAGGTCAGTTTCACCGCAGACGTGTCACAAGGGTGTTTACGCCTCAATGATATGGAGATAAATGTGTTTCCCCCAAGAGCTGCTAACGTCATGTAGTGTTACTGAACGTAAGGAGCCTCTTCATAACGGTAAAACAACAGCTCAGTGAGCTCTTCTGAAGGAGATATTGTGGGCAGGGAAGTCCCTTTTACTGACCAGGAGCTGCACGGTGTGATGTTGCAGATCAGGGATTAAGACTTTACATTAAAACAATAGA